CCTATGGGGAAATTTGCGTCGGGTTACGACCAACTCGGGATACGCCCAGAGTCACGGAATGCATTAAATATCCCGAGGTACCACTGTAATGATCTTCAATCTGTAATTGCTCCCATCAGTCTTACAGAGAAATGGTGGGATGTGGGGAGTTTAAAAAAAAAGTCAGTTCCAGGAGCTCCCTGAAATAATGGTAGGTACAGAAGTCCTTTGCTACTACTACATCATTTGAGGATCTCTTCCATTTTTTCTTACAAAATAGTCTCTAGGAATTATTGATAATTCTTATGTAAGGGCTGATGTATGTGCTCAAAGAAAGCCTCCAGTGGATCTCTCCTGGAAAAGTCCAACTTCCCCAATAGGTCACTGCATGATTAAATATTTAGCATTACAGCTTAGGGCTCTAAGGCTTAAGCTCTAACCTAGTCTTCTCCTGGGTTGTTGAATACTTTGTAAATACAGGTGATCAACTTTTGCATACCTGCATAATTAAAATAGATTGACTTCAGCTATTACAAAAACACATTTATAAATAGCACTGGCACTTATAATTTTTTTTCCTAATTCCTTTTCTCTTTGGCTTATGTACAATTCATGGCCAAAATTTTTGCCTACAGAAGCAAAACCAACTTTTACTTTTATTTTTAAATTTTGGACAAAAATCACTCCTCTGTTGTACCAACCTGCTCTTGCATGGTTCTCCAAATAAAGGCTGTATCTCATGGTGAACAGTTCAGGGTTAATTTTAAACAATGCTGTGCACAAGTCCCTTCCTCTCTCCTCAGTTTTTTTCAGTCTGAGTTATGGCTCTTCCATGCTAATGAGATAAATAACATAATTCACTGTAGATGCAGCTATTTCCTCAATAATCAATCGGTTAGAGTCTTATGTAGTTGCCCTGTAGGATGCTGAAATGCAAGGTAGCTCAGGAGAATGGAAGATGACCCCACCAAACCAAACCAAATCAAACCAAACCAATGCTTGCCTTTTCACTTCAGATAGACCTGGCTAGATGTATAGATAGCTAGGAACATCTCTCTTCCTTGATTTTTTCCCCTATGTTTTGTCTTGTTTGTGGTCTTTGGGTAGAGAATAGAGAGAGAGAGAGAGAGAGAGACATATTTCTAGGAAATTATCTTGCAGGGACTTAGGATCACCATATCCCCTTTCCTTTTCCAAAGTCAGTGGCTTCTGCTTTTGAAGATTGATGGAGTCATGAAGAATCCCTCTCAGATGAATTGGGCTGTAGTTGCACAGCTTGTTTGTTAGCACAAAACCTTGTCAATTAGGAAAGGAAGAACAGTTTTTTATGTAGGACAGTTTCCAGCCCTGTTGTGCCTCTTTTGATCTGGGCTTCTAGGGGTTACCTGCCCATTTTCTGAGTTGGAAAGATTTTTGTCAGTAGGAAAATGGAGTGAGTAACAGAGATGTGTTTCCCCTTTTGCGTTTTTCTTAGGAAGTACAATTGTGCTGCAAGAATAAATGTACAACACAAAACAAAAAAATTCCACCCAGCTGCAGCTTCTTCTGTTTAAATGAACTGGGACAATTGCTTGTTATAGCAACCAGGCTAGCAAGCATCCTTGCACCCTACTTTTAGCATGTGCTCTGCCTGAGTTTAATCTTTCCATTTTGTTTTGTTTTATATGTCTCCCACTTGATGTTTTCAAGCTACCAGTTGATGCTGCTGTTCTGACATTGCCATTACCCACCTCTAAAAAGATCCTGCTCTCAATTTGGATGACCTAGTTTGTCACTGATGGATAATTTTGCAGATGAATGTGATTCTTTGATTCAAGGTTGCATAAACGGCACTTTCAAAATGAGAAGGAAACTGCCAAATGTCACTTACTTTGAAG